AAAAAAAAAAAAAAGCAAAAACAAAAACAAACAAAAAAACTACAAAAAAAAAAAAATACTACCTAACTGGTAGTTTTTAAAAAAATAGAAATGGACTTCCCCTCCAACCATGATGGAATAACAGGGACCAGGTTTACCTTTGCTGCCTTCCTAGAATTAAAAACTGGAAAAAGTAAATACAACAACATTCAAAAACAGGCAAAGCAGCAGAAGAAGCCCTGAGAGAAGGAGAAAAGAGGTGAGTCCTGTGATTGCCCTAGTGTCCTGCCTGCAGAGACTTTTCAGGCCAGAGCACAGGAAAGGGAAAACCAGTCTCCTTGTATTGAAAAAGATAGAGTTGAGAACTCAGGAAAGCCAAAGTGGCTAGAATTCCAAGAAATTATACAGTTGTTAGAATTCATATAGAGAAATCCCATGTACCATTTATCTGATTTCCCCCAATGGTAACATCTTGCAAACCCCATAATAAAATATCACAACCCAGGTATTGACACTGATCCAGTCAAGATACTGAACACTTCCATCATACAAGGATCACATATTTTGCCCTTTTATAGCCACACCCACTTCCCTTCTGCCCCCACTTCCTCTTTAATATTGGCAACCACTAATCTGTTCACCATTTCTATACTTTTGTCATTTCAAGAACGTTACATAAATGGAATTCTACAGAATGCAATCTTTCGGGATTGCCTCTTTTTTTTTCACTCAGCATGATTCTCAGGATACTTATCAGGTGGTTGTGTGTATCAAATAGTTTTTTTGAATGTATAGCTGAGTAGCATTCCATGATATGGATGGGCCACAGTTAGTTTACTCTTTGAAGGAATCTGAGTTGTTTCTGGAATTTGGCTATTACAAATAAAGCTGTTGTAAATATTCATGGACAGATTTTTATGTGAACATAAGTTTGCATTTCTCTGGAGGAAACACCCAAAGAGTTTAATTGCTGGGTCACACAGTAGTTGCATGGTTAATTTTTCAGAAACTGCCAAACTTATGGTAATACTAAAGGCTGTACTATTTGACATTGCCACTAGCAACCTGTGAGTGATCCAGTTTCTCGTCATTCTTGCCAGCATTTGGTGTTGTCACTGTTTTTTATTTTAGCCATTCTAATAAGCATGTAGTGATATTGTGGTTTTACTTTGCATTTTTCTCATGGCTGATGATACTGAACTTCTTTTTGTGTGTTTATTTACCATGTGTATATCCTTGGTTAAATGTCTCTTTGTGTCTTATGCATGTTTTCTAATTGGATTGTTTGTTTTTGAACTTTGAGAGTTCTTTTCTTGCATAATTTAAAATTTTACTTTTATAAAATTCTTCCAAAATCACAAAGGTAACACTTATTTATTCTAATCTTGAAAACTGTACCAAGATGTAAAACGAAAAAAAAATGACCTACATTTCTTGCTTTCGCCATCAGGCTTGAATTTCACCCTCTTTTCCTGAACTCTCTCTTGTATTGGATGCTAATTATTTTTGTCAACTTGATGGGTGAAAATGCTTTCTTAATTGTTGCTTCAATTTGTATTTCTTCGGTAACTGATAAAGTTAAGTATGTGTATACATACTTATAAATAAGCAATTTTGTGCATATAATGAAAGAATGCCTGGGTAGTTTGGACTAGACAATATATATTTTACTAAAATTTCACAGTTATGATATTTATAAGTCTAGAAATTAAGTTTGGAAAAACAGAAGAATGGAAATGTGACATTTTACTGGTAAAATCTGAAGGGGGTTGGGCTCTTATTGGTCAGCTATATTTGCATTGTCCTTTTATTGATGCTAATAGAGATCTCTGTTTTCATTGGTGAACTCTCAAGTTGAATTTCTCTGTCAGAGGTGGAAATCATAAGATTTAGATGTTTTGAACACTCCTTGTACCAGTTATCAATTTATTTGCCCACAACTCCAAATCCTTTGACCTGCTTTGTGATATTGGAGCTGAGCCCTGTAAACATTTCTCTGTTGACTGCTGGGTCAATATTAAGCTTTTCAGTAGGTGGGATCAGAGAGAGGCTGCATGAAGAAGGGGCTTTTCTTCCTGGTTCTGAAACACTTTTCCATTCTTTTTTTTTTTTAAAGCAAAACTAGTTTATTTCATGAACATAAGCAAAACTTAGGTTCTTTCTTTTTTTTTTTAAAGATTTTATTTTTTTCCTTTTTCTCCCCAAAGCCTCCCAGTACATAGTTGTATATTATTTCTTGTGGGTCCTAGTTGTGGCATGTGGGATGCTGCCTCAGTGTGGTTTGATGAGCAGTGCCATGTCCGCGCCCAGGATTCAAACCAACGAAACACTGGGCTGCCTGCAGCGGAGCGTGTGAACTTAACCACTCGGCCACGGGGCCAGCCCCCTTAGGTTATTTCTTGTAAATGCCTCTGATAATCGTAAAAGAAACTTAAGTCATCTTCCTAAAAGTGGTATAAGATAATCACTTTTTAAAATTGTGGTAACATTGGTTTATAAGCTTATATAAATTTCAGGTGTACGTTGTTATATATTTTGATTTCTGTGTAGATTACATCATGTTCACCACTCAAAGATTAATTACCATACATCACTATACACATGTGCCTAATCACCCCTTTCATCTCCCCTACCCCTCTGGTAACCACCAATCCAAATGCTGTTTCTATGTGTTTGTTGTTATTTTTATCTTCTACTTATGAGTGAGATCATACGGTATTTGTCTTTCTCCCTCTGACTTATTTCACTTAGCGTAATACCCTCAAGGTCCATCCACGTTTTCACAAATGGCTGGATTTCATCATTTCATATGGCTGAGTAGTATTCCATTATGTCTCTCACTTTTCCATTCTTACTCTGATGGTGAGCTACAGCCAGTGGCTTGCAGGGTACCAGGTGCAAAGAGTTCATTGACCTCCGCACCTTCCAAGGACACTGGGCCTGAAGGAATGTTTCTGGGCTTGGGGCCAAAGATGGCCACTTTGGCCCTGACTCTAAGGCACAAGTTACAAAGAATATGTCCTGTGTCATATTCCTTGTCTGGGCTGGCCACCCCAACAGGCACCTGACTAGACTTTAGAAATATCCCATCTGTGGGAACAAAAAAGATAGAAGCACCCCGTCCATGGGAATAAGAAGAAATAACTCAAAGTATCCAAATGTCTAAAATCCTGAGTCAGAGGCTAGAGAAACCTTAGGATAAAAGGGAGTCGCAGGCATAGAACAATTGGGAGTCTCACTGAGGAAAGGATGCTTTGCCTCAGACCCAGACAATCAGCACTCCCACCCGCCATACAGACTATTGGGACTTCCCCGGCTGATTGTGGTGTGGATGTTGTAAGTACCGGTTTGTTGTTTGCTTCCCCGCTCCTTGTTCTGTTCGCCTTTATCAGTAAACTCTGATTGCTTAAACAACCAAGTAGCCTTGGTGGTACCTGTCATTCCTTGCCCTTTGTGGCTGCGGACAACACCCAGTGTCACATAATTTCCTGTGACAGCAGTAGATTTTACAGCACTCACAGGCAGCTGGGGCAGCCAATGGACTAACCTTCCAGAGAGTTTCACTAGCACCCTCCCACCAGTCCTCTCCTTTCAGGAGGCTTCCTTGCACGTTTTGCAGCATCTTCTATTTGCTTGAAAATAGAAGTCCTGTTTGTAATAGCTTATTTAACAACCTTTTCTATGAATTCTATCAGCTGAATAATTTCTTGGAATTTTAGCCACTTTGGCTTTCCTGAGTTCTCAACTCTGTCTTTTTAATTCAAGAGGCTGTATGGTTTCCCTTTCCTGTGCTGTGGGCTGAAAAGTCTCTGCAGGCAGGACACTAGGGCAATCACAGGACTCACCTCTGTCTTCGCTCAGGGCTTCTTCTGCTGCTTTGCCTGTTTTCAAAGGTGATTTTATTTATTTTTTCCAGCTTTTTATTCTTTGAAGGCAGCAAAGGTAAACCTGGTCCCTGTCACTCCATGGTTGGAGTGCAAGTCCACTCCCATTTTTTCTTAATATTACAAATTAGATAGTATTGTGATAATAAATATTTGTAGGTGTTCATTTGCATTCACATACATGTGTCCCATTGTTTGCTCACCATTCTTTGTTGCACATTAAGTTGTCTTCTGGGATCATTTTCATTCTTGCTGAAGTGCATCCTTTTGAGGTTCATTTAGTGAGGTCTATTGGTGGTTAACTCTGTATTATTTGTAATATTTTAATTTTATCATCATTCTTGAAAGATATATTTCCTAGAGGCCAAATTCTGGGTTATTACTTCATCCCTTTAAAGATATTCTGCTGTTGGGGCCAGCCCAGTGGCACAGCAGTTAAGTTCCCAGGTTCCGCTTCAGTGGCCCGGGGTTCACTCATTAGGATCCCGGGTGCGGACATGGCACCGCTTGGCACACCATGCTGTGGTAGGTGTCCCACGTATAAAGTAGAGGAAGATGGGCACCGATGTTAGCTCAGGGCCAGTCTTCTTCAGCAAAAAGAGGAGGATTGGCAGCAGATGTTAGCTCAGAGCTAATCTTCCTCAAAACAAAAAAGATATACTGCTACCTTCTGGCTTCCACTGTTGCTGTTGAGAAGTCGGCATCCCCAAATCTAGGTTATTTTGGAGCTGAAAGGGACTCTGACTATTGATAGGCCAAGTTCCGGATGCTAAAGCTCATGCTAAAGATTAGGAAATTTGGGCACAGAATTGCTCAGTCACACCATCTGACTGGAACCGGAACCCACACCCGGGTGCCCTGACTTTCAGGCCTGGTCAGCCGAGTTTCTTAACCAAAGATGAGCCTTTTAGGCTGGGAAAGGAAGGGAGGGGTCCTGGAACTTCTGTATCCTCATCTGTGAAAGGGGGTCAAACACAGACCCTCCTTGTGTACCTGCGGAGGTTACGTGCACGTGGCCCAGCATGGGAAGTGGAGGGAGGGCTAGACCATTGCAAGTCCCCAGAGGCAGGGGTGAGAGGTGAAGGGTGCGGGGGCGGAGCTTCAGAAACCAGAGGAGGGGGATTTGAGAACTCGGGGCGGGGCTTGAAGGTTGAAGCGTTTAGATGGGCAGTTGGTGGGGCTCTGAGAAGCCGCAGACAGGATTACGTGGTAAGCAGCCCCAGCTTGGCGGCCCTGATTGGACGCGGCGAGGCACAGAGGCGGGGCCGGGGCGCAGGGGCGGGGCCAGCGACTGCCAACGCCCCTCCCCCGCGCGGTGCTCAGTCTCGGCGGTTGGCGCTGTCCTGGGGCGGAGGAGACTTGGAGGAGGTGGTAGTAAATCAGGTACCGCCGCTCTGCTGTCTGTTAGTCACTCTATACAATATTGCATCTTGTTCTTATCTGGCAGAACTCTTGACACCAGGGCCTGCTAGAATAGCAGAGACATGATTAAATATAAACAGTTGTTTTGTACCGTCTGTTCGATTTTGAAGGCTAATAGATATCTGTTTAATATTAATCACTTTCTACATTTCCTGTGAAACCAAAGAAATGGGAAAACTCTATTTTGAACTTGATTTTGTATATTTAAGAGGCATTTAAAGAAACTGAGTATTTTTTGTTTTGTCTTGTCATGGTCATAACGTTTGGATATGAAACCTTATAGTAACGTTAGATCTGAGAGACTGCATAAATAAATAGAAAGAAATGAATTAACAAGGAGAGTTATGTTGTATGTTGGGCCCCAAAGTGCAGCATTTTGTAGTGGGTGAGGCATTTATACTGAGGATTGACCAAGAGTGGTATAAAGGTCGCCTTTTTGACAAATCCAGAATGTATTTTGTACTTGTTTTTAATTACTTGTGGAAGGAACAGTAGAGCCTGATGAATTTAGATAAAATTTTCTTCACTGATAGGTGCCGCTCACATATCACTGCAGACCCAGTATTGATCTTTTGTTACTTTGCCTGCAGATTACTGTAATCAGCATTTATGTCTATTACTTTATATGGAGTTTAGAAGGTTCAGGGTAGGCAAATAGCCTTTTTTTAAAACATTGTTGGATTTTGAAAATTTAAATGTTATGCTTCATGCATCCTTCATGTGATCCACGCTAACCATCAGAAGAGTTGTTCTAACGCCTATGGAATAGAATGTTCAGAAAGATGAATGATCAGTTCTGTTATATAACTGGGAATGTGGAAACTTCATTTCATAATGATTGCAAATATTTCTTTTTTTGTTTTAAGATTTTCTTTTTCTCCCCAAAGCCTCCCGGTACGTAGTTGTGTGGGTTTTTTTTAGTTGTGGGTCCTTCTAGTTGTGGCGTGTGAGATTCTGCCTCAGCATGGCCTGATGAGCAGTGCTATGTCTGCGCCCAGGATCTGAACTGGCGAGACCCTGGGCTGCCGAACTGGAGCGAGCGAACTTAGCCACTCGGCCATGGGGCTGGCCCCTGCAAATATTTCTTAATGTTTTCATTTGTCACAACTGGTGCTTTAGAAATAGATATTGTTAATTGGGCTGCTGAACCTTTGACTCCTTTTTTGGGGGAGTGGGGCAATAATAAATTTGGATATTCAGGATATAAAACAATGTGATCAAAACTTTTACACTTGAATTTTTCATTTGGTGACCATCATGTGTTACTCTCTATAATATTCAGGATATAAAACAATGTGATCAAAACTTTTACACTTGAATTTTTCATTTGGTGACCATCATGTGTTACTCTCTCCCTGACTTATGAAAATTCCTTCTGACAGTTGTGAACATATATTTTTTAAACTGAAGAGAGACCTTTTCTGTATTAAAATATGAAAACCCTTAAGAAACTTTCAGTATAACCTAGTGCCTACAGTGTTACATAATAACATCTCTTTTGGTTTTCATGTCCCTGTTCGGAACCTTAAAGTCAGTGAATAATATGCTGTCCTTTCTGAGAGCTTAGTTTGGATTTCTGTGATGCATAATACAGGGTTTTTAAAATTAATATAACAGCTCTTTGAGATGTAATTCACATGTTGTAAAACTCACTCAAAGTGTACAGGTTAGTGGTTTTTAGTATATTCACAGAGTTGTATGGCCATTACCATAATCAGTTTCAGAATACTTTAATCATCTCCCCAAAAGAAACCTCAAGCCCATGAATTCTCACCTTTTCCCTCCAAATCCTTCTTCCCTAGGCAACCACCAGTTTACTTTCTACCTCTATGGAGTTACCAGTTTTGGCAATTTCACATAAGCTGAATCATGCAATAGGTGGTCTTTTGTGACTGGCTTTTTGACTTAGCATAATGTTTTCAGGGTTCATCCATGTGGTAGCATGTATTTCTACTTCAATCCTTTTTTTTTTTCTTAAAGATTGGCACCTGGGCTAACAATTGTTTCCAATCTTCCTTTTTTTTTTTAAGGCTTGGCACCTGGGCTAACAACTGTTCCCAATCTTTTTTTTTTTTTTTCTGCTTTATTTCCCAAACCCCGCCCCGGGTGCATAGTCGTATATTTTAGTTGCAGATCCTTCTAGTTGTGGGATGTGGGTCACCGCCTCAACGTGGCCTGACGAGCAGTGCCATGTCCGCGCCCGAGATCTGAACCCTGGGCCGCTGCAGCAGAGCACGCGAACTTAACCACTCGGCCACGGAGCTGGCCCCCAACTTCATTCCTTTTTATTACCAAATAACATTCCATTGTACGGATATACCACATTTTATCCATTCATCCAGTTGACTAGCGTTCGAGCTGTTTCTACTTTTGGCTATTATGAGTAATGCTGCTATGAACATTCATGTACAAGTTTTTGCATGGACTTATGTTTTTATTTCATTTGAGTATCTACCTAGAGTTGAATTGCTGGGTCATGTGGTAACTCTGTTTGACCTTTTGGGGAACTGCCAAACTGTTTTCCAAAGCAGCTACACCTCATTCCACCATACTGTATGAGGGTTCCAATTTCTCCATATTGTTACTAATACTTGTCTTTTTGAGTGTAGCTTTCCTATTGTGTGTGAAGTGATATCTCATTGTGGTTTTGGTTGCATTTTCTTTGTTTTTTTTTAAGATTTTATTTTTCCTTTTTCTCCCCAAAGCCCCTTGGTACATAGTTGTATATTTTTAGTTGTGGGTCCTTCTAGTTGTGGCATGTGGGATGCCACCTCAGCGTGGCTTGATGAGCGGTGCCCTGTCTTCGAAACCCTGGGCCACCAAAGCGGAGCGCACAAACTCAACCACTGGGCCATGGGGCCGGCCCCTGGTTGCATTTTCCTGATGGCTGACATTCATATGCTGGTTGGCCAGTTACATCATTTTGAGGAAATATCTAGTCAGCTCCTTTACCCATTTTTTAATTGGATTATTTGTCTTTTTATTATTAGCATTGTGATCAGAAAAGATACTTGTTATTATTTCAATTTTCTTAAATTTATTCAGGCTTGCCTTGTTTCCCAACATATGGTCTATCTGGAGAATGTTCCATGCGTGCTTGAGAAGAACGTATATTCTCCTGTTTGTGGATGGAGTTTTCTATATATGTCTATTAAGTCCAACTGGTCTAACTTTTCATTTAATTCCACTGTTTCCTTGATGATTTTCTGTCTGGATGATCTGTTCATTGATGTAAATGGAGTGTTGAGGTCCCCTACTATTATTGTGTTATTACTGATATCTTATGTTAGGTTTGTTAATAGTTGCTTTATGAACTTTGATGCTCCTGTTGGTGCATAGACATTTATAAGTGTTATTTCTTCTGGATGGAGTGTCCCTTTCATCATTATATACTGCCCTTCTTTGTCTGTCTTTGTCTTATGTTGAAGTCCACTTTGTCTGATATAAGTATTGAGACAACTGCTTTTTTTTTCTTTGCCATTAGCTTGGAGTATCCTCTTCCACCCCTTCACTCTGAGCCTGTATTTGTCATTGGAGCTAAGGTGTGTTTCCTGGAGGCAGCATATTGTTGGGTCTTGTTCTTTAATCCATCTTGCCACTCTGTGTCTTTTTATTGGAGAATTCAATCCATTTAGGTTTAGGGTGATTATCGAAATATGAGGGCTTAAAGCTGCCATTTTTCACTTGTTGTCTGGTTCTCCTACATTTCCTTTGTTTCTTGTCCTGAGTGTTTTGGTCTACCCATGAATTATGTAGTTTTTTATGATGCATTTCTTTGTTTTCTCCTTGTTTATTGTGTCTCTGTTCCACTTTTTTGTTTACTGGTTACCATGAGGTTTGTATTGAGAATCTCATGTATAAGATAGTCCATTTTCTGATGGCCTCTGGTTTCCTTAGTCTAAACTGATTCAGTCCCTTTCCTCTTCTCCTCCTAAGTTGTTTTTCTCACATATTATTCCATCTTGTGTTGTGAGTTTATGATTAAAATGACAAGATTATCTTTGTTTTTCGTGTTTTCTTTATCTTTACCTTTATCTTTAATGCCATGCTTGAATTATTTGCTATCTTATTCTGATTCTGTCTACCTATTTATCTCCTTACTCTGTGCTTTGTAACCCTTTTCTCCCTGTTGTTTTTTTTTTTTTTTCCAAATATGAGGGCCGTGAGGATTTCTTGTAGGGGGATCGTCTCATGGCTACAAACTCCCTGAGCTTTTGTTTGTCTGGGAGTTTTTATGTCTCCATCATATCTGAAGGATATTTTTGCTAGATAGAGTATTCTTGGCTGAAAATTTTTGTCTTTCAAAGATTTGAATATGCCATTCCATTCTCTCCTAGCCTTTAATGTTTCTGCAGAGAAATCTGCTGAAAGCCAGATAGGGATTCCTTTGTAAGTTATTTTCTTCTGCCTTGCTGCCCTGAGTATTCTTTCTTTGTCATTAATTTCTGCCAGTTTTACTACTATATGCCTTGCAGTAGGTCTTTTTACATTGACAAATCTAGGAAATCTGGAGCCTCTTCCACATGGATTTCCATCTGTTTCCCTAGGTTGGGGAAGTTCTCTCCTATTATTTCTTCTTCACTTTTTTTTCTTTTTTAAAGATTGGCAAGAGATGTTAGTTCAACATCTGTTGCCAATCTTTTATTTTTTATTTATTTTTCTTTTCTTTTCTTCTTCTTCTTTTCCTCTAAGCTCCTCAGTACATAGTTGTATATGTAGTTGTGGTCCTTCTGGTTTTGCTATGTGGATGCTGCCTCAGCACGGCCTGACGAACGGCACCATGTCTGCACCCAGGATCTGAACCTGCAAAACCCTGGGCTGGTGAAGCAGAGCGTGCACCTACCACTCGGGCATGGTGCCAGCCCCTCTCCTGTTATTTCTTTGAGCAAGCATTCTGCTACATTCTCCTTCTCTTCTCCTTTTGGAATACCTATAATCCTTATGTTGCATTTCCTAATTGAATTGGATATTTCTCGGAGACTTTCTTCATTTCTTTTTAGTCTTAGTTCTCTCTCCTCCTCTGTCTGGCATTTCAACATGTCTATCTTCGGTTATGCTGATATCTCCTCTATGCTGTCCGCTTGAGCATTCAAGGAATGTGTGTTTTGTTTTATTTCTTCCATTGTATCTTTCATGTCTAATATTTCTGATTGATTCTTCTTTATAGTTTCAATCTCTTTTGTGAAGTAGCTCCTGAACTTGTTGAATTGTTTCTTTACATGCTCTTTTACCTCTTTGAGTTTGATGATAGCTATTTTGAATTCATTGTCATTTAGATTACATATTTCTGTGTCCTCAGGGCTGAATTCTGAATACTTGTCATTTTCTCTTTGGTCTGGAGATTTGATATAATGTTGATATTGCTAGAGGGGATGGCTCTGTTTTTATGCATCCTGTTATTATTTGGTTGCATTTACTTCCTATCACCAGTGGGTGGGGATCAGAAGTCATATTTTCTGAGCCCTCTGCCTTCAGCCAAGATCCTAGGTGGTGGAGCTGCGCTCAGTGGGTTGGGGGAAGGGTGCTTTCTCCTGCGTGCTCTCAGGGTTTTCTCACTCTGCTCTCACTGTCTACTCTCCTGGCATGTTGGTTTAATGAGGTCACCCCTTGTGAAAGCTCTCCCCCCAGTAAAGGTCTTCCCTCTAGGCTTCATGGGCCCTCCGGGATCCTTGCTGTTCCCATGTGTGAATGTCCCATCCCCCACCCCTTCCCTCTCGGAGGCCTCCTGCTGTCCTGATTGCAGTCTTTAGGGGAGGGAGTGAAGTTTTCTCTTACTCTATTCCTCTTCCTCTGAGGGGGGCTCTAGCTTCTCTGCCCTCCATCATATGGCTGCATGTGTCTGTCCATCATTATTTGTGTTGTGCTTGGATGTCCTCTGTTGGAGTATGTTTGTTTTATCATTGTATGTTAGAGGGGTGAGATCATCGAGAAAGTTCACTCCACCATGATGCTGATGTCACTTCAGCTGGATTCTAGAAAACTTTATCAGAATGGGGACTAGTGATCCTAAAACACAAGGCTTTCACTGCACCTATCTATTGGACAACCTACTAGAATTTGAAGTTTGAAAAGATCCAGGAGGAAACCCAGGAACACCATCTCCGTGTCACTCCCCCTCGCCCAGATCCCATGTTTACTAGGGAAGTGGTTCTAGTGAATGTTGAGCTCTAACATCAAAAGTCATCCTGGTTTTATTTTTTCCCCTTCAGAATAGCCCCTGAATTTGTCCTTTCCTCTGTCCAACTGCTACCTCCATAACAAGTCCAGACCTTTCTCAGGCCTGGTTTACTGTCACAGTTTCTTAGCCCAGCACCTGGATTTAGTTTCTTCCTTTCTAATCCATCTGATTTGCCACTGCCAGACTTATTATCATCCTAAACACCACTGTCATCACATTGCTTCCTGCTTAAATACTTGCTGCTGTTTTCTACCATCTGGCTGTTGACTCATATTAGCTGAGACAGATTTTTCCTGTTTCTGACCTTGTAGCACTCAGTACCTGACAGTTTGGTACTGAGTTGCTCCAATTATTACATGTGTCTTAGAAGGAAAGTTGTGGTTCTTGAAAACAAAGATGGTTACTTGTATTTCTTTTGAATTCACCACTACTTGTAGTTCATCTTGTGAAAACTCTCTGGTGAGCAGGCACTTCCAAGACAACAAAGTGCTGATGTGTAAAAAATGTTTAAAAAGTGAAAAATTACCTTGGTGGGCTGATAAAAAAGGCACAAAGCTATAAGTTGTGTTCAGGCTTTCTTCAGCTTCAAAGCTACTAGATCGTTTAACTTTGGGTTTTCTTAGCTATAAAAGGAGAGGGTTGCTGTAGATTATCTTTAAGTTCTTAGCCCTAAAAGACTAATTTTTCTTAATTCTTTCCCTTGATCTTTGTCTTGAAATTAAAACTGATAAATTGTTTCCAGATCTGGAATTAGGAAATTTTTCTTTCTTTGTTTTTCTTATGAGGATTAGCCCTGAGCTAACACCCACCACCAATCCTTTTCTTTGCTGAGGAAGACTGACCCTGAGCTAACATCCATGCCTATCTTCTTCTACTTTGTATGTGGGACGCCTGCCACAGCATGGCCTGACAAGCAGTGCATAGGTCCACACCTGGGATCTGAACTGGCAAACCCTGGGCCACTTAAGTAGAATGTGTGAACTTAACCACTGCACTACTTGGCCAACCTGGAAATTTTCATTTCTTTGAATTCTCTCCCTGTCACTTTTTTCAGTTTTTCTCTGCATACATGCTGCTAAAGTAAATTTGGATTTGCAGTTTGGCTGCTTTTTAGGACAGTAGACAGAAATCCATGCCATCTGTTATTCCTGATTTCAGCTTTTCATTTGTGAAAGTAAAGCTTTCACTTCAGTATTGTTCTAGCATAACTCTTTTTTCTTTAAAGATTGGCACCTGAGCTAACATCTCTTGCCAATCTTCTTTTTCTCCTCCTCCTCCTCCACCCTCCTCCTCCTCTCCCTCCACCCTCAAACCCAAATATACAATAGTTGTATATTCTAGTTGTAGATCCTTCTGGTTGTTCTTCTGTAACTCTTGCTCTTCTTCTGCAGACATGATGAAGTGGATGGCACTCCAGAGCAAGTTTTAGCAAGGATTTGGGCAAGCAGTGAATAATGACCTGTGTTATGATGAGATCTATATTTCTCTTGTGACCTGAGAATATTCCTCTTCCTCTGTCAATCCCAAATTTGATGCCATAATCACTGAAAACAGTGGGAGAGAAGCACTCCTTGTGCTCCTTTTGCACAAGGTAAGTAATTAACCTTCCATTCTGTTAAACATCCTGCAGGAATCTCCATATTTTTGCATAATATATTAACTTTGCAGATGGATGTGTCACTAGGAATTGTATGATTGCTGGGAGCATTGGACTCTGATGGAACTGAGGTTGCGTTCCATGTGTCTTGCTAACCACGTCAGTTTTCCTCCAATATAGAATCATTGAACAGAATGATGAACTCTGTTCTGGGTATGCCCTGCATGGATTGAAAAGATTATTATACTGATGCTGGGAGTGTTGGACATTACATGAATTTTATGATTTGGTTAATAATCATCTACTTTTCATAAAACTCTTTCTTCTGGAGTGCATTTTTTAAAACAATCATGTTTTAAAATCAACAGAAATTTGTAAGATAATGTTCTTTTTTTACAGAGTTGTAAGGACTGGTCTTTATTTGTTTTTTGAAAGGTAAATGGTAGAAGAGCTCAAGAAATTTTCTAAAGCAATATAAATTTCAACTCTGGACAATAGTAAGTTTCAGCAGAGCATTTAAACAGTCAACAAGTAGTAGAAATAAAAGATCTTTACAGAGACCAACAGAGATGAGTGGCCTTCTAGCCCTTCTAGACAGTTCTGCGCTTGGGGAGTTATCAGGAGGACCAGCTCTGTCAGCAGGATCCAGCAGGTAAGCCCTGGAGCATCAGGTGATTCTCTCCTTTCTTTCCTTCCTAAGGTACTGTTTCTTATCTAGTTACTACATAGGCTGGGCATCAGTAGCTGCTAGAAAATAGGATACCTTCCATGTTGTCAGAAAACTTACATGTCTGTTTCATGGAGCTGACTGCCTCTTTGATATATAACTTATAATTTTGGTATGATCATTAATATTTCAATAAACAGAAACCTAGCAAACAGGCTTCAACAGCCTGTTTAAAGAATTGCACACCATGACCAAGTAAGATTTATTCTTGGAATTCAAGGATGGTTTGACCATCCATGTAATACATCACTGTTAGGCTTTTTTTAAATTACTGTTTGTTAAGTGAAGCACAGCATGCCAGATTGTGAGCCGTAGTTGAACAAAAGACCATAAGAGAAAATGAAAGAGAGAGTTTATTAATCACAGGTCCTGGAGGAAGTACACAGTAAGTCTGAAGGGACCATATGGGGAAGTCAAGGCAGGATGAAGGCAGAGAAAGAGATAGGACCTAAGGGACATCCCTTTATTAGGGTCCATGTGTGGAATGCTTTGGTGTTCCCAGGCTAAGGCTGAGTCGGTCAATTCAAATGAAAAAGAGTGGGATTTTGGTAAGCTCTACAGGGGTCTTATTTGAGAAAAAGAACAAACTAAACCAAAAGTTAGCAGACAGAAGGAAATAAGAAAGCTTAGAGTGGAAAAATAGAGACTAGAAAAACAATAGAAAAGATGAAAAAAACTAAAATTTGATTTAAAGAAAAATAAAATTGACAAACCTCTAGCTAGACTAAGAAAAAAAGAGAGAAGTCTCAAAATTATAAAAGAAAGAGGAGACATTACAACTGATACCACAGAAATATAAAGGACCATAAGGGGCTACTATGAACAATTATATGTCAATAAATTGAATAACCTACAAAATGGACAAATTCCTAGAAACATACAACCTACCAATACTGAATCGTAAAGAAATGGAATATCTGAACAGATAAATAATGAGTAAACAGATTGAATTAGTGAACAAAACCCTCCCAGCAAAGACAAGCTCAGGACCAGATGGCTTCACTGGTGAATTCTATCAAACATTGAAAGAATTAATGCCAGTCCCTCTCAAATTATTCCAAAAAATTAAAGAGGAGTGAAAAATTCCAAACTCATTGTATGAGGCCAGCATTACCATAATACCAAAGCCTGACAAAGACACTACAAGAAAGAAAACAACAAACTAATATCCCTGGTGAACATAGATACAAAAATCCTCAACAAAATACTAGCAAACCAATGTGGGATGTCAGTATCATGGGGGAGGGAGCTCTCCTGGTGAAAGGTCCCGTCCATTATACAATGAAAAGGACATTCATATTCCAACAGAGGACATCCACACAACACAAAATATGTTTGAGAGACCTATGCAACCATACATCAGAAGGTGGAGGTGCTGGAGTCCCCTTCAGAGGAGGTGGAATGGGGTAAGAGAAAGATTTACTCCCTCCTCAAAAGACTGAAATCTGGGGATTGTGCGCGGCCATTGAGAGGGAAAGAAAAGAGGAGGGGTTGAAACTATAAGGAACCAATCAGAAATATTGGAGATGAAAGACACAATGGATGAGATAAAACAAAATATGGATTCCCTGAACGTTAGCACTGATATCATCAAGGAACAAATCAGCATATTGAGGACAGACATACTGAAATGCTGCAGATAGGAGGAGAGATAACTAAGACTAAAAAGAAATGAAGAAAGTCTCCAAGAAATACCCGACTCAACTAGGAAATGCAACACAAGGATTATAGGTATTCCAGAGGAAGAAGAGAAGGAAGATGGAGCAGAAAACTTGTTCAGAGAAATAATAGTGGAGAACTTCCCAAACCTGGGGAAGGAGATGGAAATCCAAGTAAAAGAGCCTATCACACCTCATAAATATGTCAATGTAAAAAGACCTGCTGCAAGGCATATAGGAGTGAAACTGGCAAAAGTAAATGACAAAGAAAAAATACTAAGGGCAGCAAGGCAGAAAAAAATGACTTACAAAGGAACCCCTGTCAGGCTGTCAGCAGATTTCTCAGCAGAAACCTTACAGGCTAGGAGAGACTGGAATGGTATATTCAAATCTTTGAAAGACAAAACGTTTCAGCCAAGAATACTCTATCCAGTGAAAATATAATTCAGGTAAGATGGAGAAATACAACCTTTCCCGGATAAACAAAAGCTAAGAGAGTTTGTAGCCACAAGACCCATACAATAAGAATTCCTAAAGAAGGCTGTCACATCTTACCAAAAAAAAAAAGGTAAAAAGGGGATACAAAGCCTAGAGTAAGGAGATAAATAGGCAGACAAAATGAGAAAATTGTAGCTATACATCAGAACAAGCTAGCAAATACTCAAGTATAACATTAAAGATAAAGGGAAGGATGGGCCAGCCCCATGGCTGAGTGTTTAAGTTTGCATGCTCCACTTTGGCAGCCCAGGGTTTCACCAGTTTGGATCCTGGGCGCAGACATGGCACCACTCATCAAGCCATGCTGAGGCAGTGTCCCACATGCCACAACTAGAAGGACCCACAACTAGAATATACAACTATGTACTGGGGGGCTTTGGGAGGAGGAAGAAGAAAAAAATCAGACTGGCAACAGATGTTAGCTCAGGTACCAATCTTTAAAAAGAAAAAGTTAATCTACTGAAAAAAATTAAAAAGATAAAGGGAAGGAAAATACCAAAACCAAAGATAATCTTGTCATTTCAACCACAAACACACAACGCAAGATGGCATAAGATGTGACAAAAACAACATAGGAGGGAAGAAGGAAAGGGAATTAATCAGTTTAGTCTAAGGAAATAAGAGGCCATCAGAAAATGGCCTCGATTTTCTATGAGATTTTGCATACAAACCTCATGGTAACCACTCAACAGAAAAGCAGAACAAAGACACAAATAATAAATGAGGAGAAACCTAAGAAACCCAGCATAAAAAGCTACATAACCAATTGGTAGGCCAAAATACACGGGGCACGAAACAAAGGAAATGCAGGATAACCAGAAAAAGAGTGATAAAATGTCAGCATTAAGCCCTCATATGTAAATAATCACCCTAAATGTAAATGGATCGAATTCTCCAATCAAAAGACACAGAGTAGCAAGATGGATTAAAGAACAAGAGCCAACAATATTCTGCCTCCAGGAAACACATCTCAGCTCCAACAACAGACACAGGGTCGGAGTGAAGGGATGGAAGACGATACTCCAAGCTAATGGCAAACACAAGACAGCAGGTGTCACAATACTTATATCAAACAAAGCAGACTTCAAGATAAGATATGTAAAGAGAGACAAAGAGGGGCAGTATATAATGATCACAGGGACACTCCACCAAGATGACGTAACACTTAAAAATATCTATGTACCCAGGGCCGGCCCGGTGGCACAGCAGTTAAGTGCACATATTCCGCTTCAGTGGTCTGGGATTCACTGGTTTGGATCCTGGGTGTGGACATGCACTGCTTAGCAAACCATGGTGTGGTAGGCGTCCCACATATAAAGTAGAGGAAGATGGGCATGGATGTGAGCTCAGGGCCAGTCTTCCTCAAAAAAAACCTGAAAAATCTGTGTACCCAACACAGAAGAACCAAATTTCATAAAGCAACTATTAACAAACCTAAAAGGAGATATTAATAATAACACAATAACATCAATAATAACACTCACATCAGTGGATAGATCATCCAGACAGAAAGCCAACAAGGAAACAGTAGAATTAAATGAAAAGCTAGACCAGTTGGATGTAATAGGCATATGTAGAACACTCATCCAAAAACAGCAGAATATGCAATCTTCTCAAGTACACATGGAACATTCTCCAGGATAGACCATATGTCGGGAAACAAGGCAAGCCTCTATAAATTTAAGAAGGTTGAAATAATAAGCATCTTTTCCAATCACAATGCTATGAAGGTAGAAATTAATTTCAAGAAAAATGCTGAGAAAGGGACAAAGATGTGGAGACTAAACAACAGGCTATTGAACAACCAATGGATCACTGACGAAATTAAAGGAGAAATCAAAAAATATCTAAAGACAAGTGAAAATGAAAACATACATATCAACTCATATGGGACGCAGCAAAAGTGGTTCTAAGAGGGAAATTCATTGCAACACAGTCTCACCTTAACAAACAAGAAAAATCCCAAATAAGCAATCTCAAATTACACCTAACTGAATTAGAAAAAGAAGAACAAACAAAGCCCAAAGTCAGCAGAAGAGAAATAATAAAAATCAGAGCAGAAATAAATGCTATTGAAACAAAAATGGGAGTAGAAAGGATCAATGAAACCACGAGCTGGTTCTTTGAGAAGAGAAATAAAATTGACAAACCCCTAGCCAGACTTACAAAGAAAAAAAGAGAGAAAGCTCAGATAAATAAAATTAGAAATGGAAGAGGAGAAATTACAACAGACACCACAGAAATACAACAGATTATAAGAAAATACTATGAAAAGCTATATGCCAACAAAATGGACAACTAGAAGAAATGGATAAATTCTTAGACTCTTACAACCTTCCAAAACTGAATAAAGAAGGAATAGATAATCTGAATAGAGCAATCACAAGTAAAGAGATTGAAACAGTAATCAGAAACCTCCCAAAAAATAAAAGTCCAGGACCAGACAGCTTCCCTGGAGAATTCTGCCAAACTTTCAGGGAGGACTTAATACCTATCCTCAAGCTATTCCAAAAAATTAGGGAAGACAGAACACTTTGTAACACATTGTACAATGTCAGCATCACTCTGATACCAAAGCCTGACAAGGACAACGTGAAAAAGGAAAACTACAGGCCAATATCCCTGATGAACATAGATGCAAAAATCCTCAACAAGATTTTGGCAACCTAAATACAACAATACATCAAAAAGATCATACATCATGATCAAGTGGGATTTATACAAGGGACACAGGGATGGTTCAAGATCCACAAATCAAGCGGTGTGATG